GGTGTGGTGGCACATGCCCATAATCCCAGCACTCAGGAGGCTGAAGGCAGAGGATCTTTGCAAGTTCAAGACCAGCCTGAGCTACAAAGTGATCTCAAGGCCAGCCTGAACTGCATAGCGAGACCCTGTCTCAAAAAAAAAAGAAAGTTCATTGTCCCTAACCAAATATATAGTAAAACCTTATTTCTTCCAGCTGTTAATTAACAAAACAGCATAATAAGTAACATAACATTGCCAAATGCTAATATGTGTGGTGTAGACAATCGAAGATATGACAAATAAGGTGATACTAAAGTGTGAGACAGTGCCTTCTGGAGAGAAAGTAACATTGGCTGACAAATACTTGAAAGAGTGTGCTCAGAACTTGTCTTAAAGATGGGTAGACCTGGATGAATGAAGAAAGGAAAGGCATTCCAAGTGAGCATAGGAATGAGAAAGATAAGGTAAAACCCAAAAAGCCTAAATAAAATGTTGGGTTGAATCATTTAAAATTGATGAGTTTTTTTGGAGGTCAAAAATGACCTAACATTGGCTATTTTGTATTTTTTTTTCTTTTGGTACGAGGAATTGAACTCAGGACCTCACACTTGCCAGGTGGGTGTTGCACCGCTGAGCTAAATCCCTGGCCTTGTATTGGCAATTGTTAATACACTGACTGATAGGTATAGTCCTTATGTTAGTTCTAATTTTCTGGTGGTTCCTAAATACTTTGTAATCATGTTTTTAAAATTATTTAAGGCTGCTAGGCAGTGCCCTCTGTAATGCCAGCACTGAGGAGGCTGAAACAGGAGGCTCACAAGTTCTAGCTTGGCCTGGACATTTTAGTGAAACTATCTTAAAATTAAACAGATAGAAAAGGCTAGGAATGTAGCTTAGCACTGCCTGGGTTTAATACCCAATACCATACATACAGACACACACACATAGACACAGACTCACACACATACAAAGTGCTAAGTATCACCCAATAACTTAAAAAAATCTCTTTAGACAATGATCATCCTCTGCATTCTTAGACTTTTATCCCCAGCTTTTCTGTAAGGTGGTACCAAACCAGAGCTTCTGCAACCTGGGAGAAAGGAAGAGAATCCAGAGACCCCAAGCTCAGTGTTCTTTGGCACCTCTGGCCTCTGAGGCAATGTTCCTTCTGTACCTGGCTGCTGTCCACCCTACTGATGTTTGGGGCTGAAATCTGTGGTTCAAGGCTGTGCAACCATAGAATGTGAACTGGCAACCCCTCAGGGTGCCCAGGCCTCAAAGCTCCCTGACTCCATGGTCCGTCTGAGTTTACCTAAAAGATCCTACTATAGCTGGGGGTGGGGGGGTGGCACATGCCTGTATTCCTAGCACTTGGGAGGCTGAAGCAGGAGGATCATTTCAAGTTCAAGACTAGCCTGGGCTACAAAGTGAGCTCAAGGCCAGCCTGAACTGCATAGCGAGACCCTGTCTCAAAAAGACAATAAATAAATGAATAAATAAATAAATAAAAGATCCTACTGACCTTGACTTGTGTCACCTTGCCCCGCTAAGATCATCTCCCACCACAGGCTCCTCAGATTCTCAGCTGCTGTGGCTGTCACTGACAGCACCCCAGGAGGGGTGACCTCAGGGTTCTCTCTGCCTGCCAACAGCTTCCTCATACTTTCAGTTGCTGTGCCGAAGCCACAGCAGGACGTGGAGCACCTTGCACCACCCTACAGAGCCCCAGTGGGTGCAAGCCCTCCTTCTCGCTATGCGCTGCCTGGAGAGGAAAAATCAGATCACACATTTAAGCTTTCCCTTTCTTTTTTCCCTCATCATGGTCTTTTTAAAATGTTTGTTTGTTTGTTTGTTTGTTTGTTTGGACAGGGTCTCCCTTTGTAGTTCTGGCTGGCCTTGAGCTCACTATGTAGCCCCGGTGGGCCTCAAATTTGTGATGATCCTCCTGCCTCAGCCTCCCAAGTGCTCAGATTACAGGCATGTACCACCATACCTGGCTTACCATAATCTTTCTATGATCCTCTAAGACCAGAAAACACAAGGCTTTCCTCTTTTCCTCCCTCCACGTCCTCCCAGCATCAAGTACCAGGCACTGTGGCCTGGGAGACACATGTAGAAAGTGTAACTTCTTTACCCTTTGGGAGAACTTCTAAATCCTCCAGGAAATTTAGGAAGTCTTAGCTAGGATGATAGTACATACCCATAATCCTAGCACTCCAGGAGGCTGAGGTAGGAGGATTGGTAGTTTGAGCCCAGCCTGGGCAATTTAGCAAGACCCTGTCTTAAAAATAAAAAAAAAGGTGCGGGGAGGCTGAAGCTGTAGCTCAATGCAAAGAAAAGCCCACAAGGTGAGAGTTCAAGGCACATAGACATACACTGATGTCACAACTGCCTTTCAGACAAGAGGTCCTTGGGAGTAAATGCTGAGGCCCAGCGTTCAGTGGAGTCAGTGACAGGAGAGCCCGTGTCAGATAAAGGGTCTGTTTCTCTGTGTAAGCGGAGGCAGGGGAGTCAGACTGTGGGGTTTGGACCCACCTGAGTTGCTAACCAGCACATTACTGCAACTTGTCTAAGCTTCAGTTTAAGCTATGAGTTTGGGCTATTAGGCGAGTTAAAGGTTTAAGGCACGTAACTGTTAGCACAGAAAAGTGGCCAGTAAATGTTCACTATCAATATAACTATGAGTATTACGTTGTTGTCACAAGGACCATTTAATACTACAGTATTGCTACTGACAACGGAGAGCAGCAATACTGTTTCCTGCCACCTGCATCCCTGCCCCCCATGTACACTTGGGCCTTCTCACACCAATGTTGAATTAATGAAAGTGGCAGGAGTGGAGTGAGCATGTGAAGGGATGTGCACAAAGAAAGAAAACTTCACAAACCTGAGCCCTGGTTACACAACAGGGACCACCCCTACCAAAAAGGGACAAAGTCAAATTCAGGTAATCAAGTTTTTCTATTACCTATGCAGGAGGATAAATGTTTAAAAATAAATAAAAGCAAGGAATGAGATAAAGAAATACTAACATTTGCCAGAGGGGGTGGTATATGTCCATGACTTGAGAGGCTGAAGCAGAAAGATCAGGAATTCAAGGTGAGCCTGGGCTACAATAGCAAGTTCAAGGCCAAGCTGAACTTCATACTGGGCCTTGGTCTCAAAAAAGGAAATTAAAATTTAAAATAAGGGGCTGGGGATTTAGCTCAGCGCCACAGCGCTTGCCTGGCAAGCGCGAGGTCGTGTTTGATTCCTGGTACTGGAAAAAAACAAAAACAAAAACAAAAAATTAAAATAAATTAAAAGGAGTGGTGATGTATACCTGTATTCTCAACACTCTGAGAGGCTGAGGTAGGTGACCCAACTGGGCAATTTAGCAAGACCCTGTCTCAAAATGAAAAATTAAAAGTGCTGAGGTGTAACTAATTCAGTGCGAAGGCCGTGGGTTCAATCCTCAATACAAAACAACAGCCACCAGGAGCTGCACTGGGGGTATTTGATTACAGGATAGGCCAGCATCGGACTGCGCTTGGGTTCTGCCAGAGGCCTTGCCTTCAGCACACTTGGGACATGGCCAAGCCAGGATGCCCGGGGAGAAGGGCAGACAGAAAAACGGAAGCTTGGCAGAATTGCCGTCCTATTTTAATTTATCACTTTCCTAACTGAAATAATAGCTTTAAAGAGACAGATTATTCACAAATCATTGAGAGCAAATGTTGAGATGGGGAAATGATAAGCAAGAAAGAGAATTAATGTCTGTCCGAGTCTTAAAATGAAATACCATCTAAGCATAGAGAAATAAATTAGATGGATTTTCAAGCCTTTCCACTCTAAGCATTCAAAAAAGAAAGAGTAAGAGAGAAAGAGAGAGAGAAAGAGAAAAAGAAAAAAAAAAAAACAAAAAAAGCCTTGGGCAGTGGTTTTCAAACATTTTTTGACAACAACCCTGAGTAAAAAGTATATTCAACATCTCGATTCCATATGCACAACACACACTCCATATTCCTTTTATGATTCGGGCTTCAGGGAAGAATCCTGATTCTCATATGTTAATATCTTTCCATTCTCTTTTGTTCCAGCTTCTCCCTTCTTTCTTTTCTCCTTCCTTTCCTAATGCTCCTTGGCAAACTGATTTTGCTACCCAGTCTAAAAAATGCAGGTCTAGTGGGTTTTCCTAACCGTGAGGTATTTCTGCACCAGAATACAGAGAAAATCCAGCAATCAGCGTGAAAGAGCAGTTTCTAGATTTGACTTTTGTCGCCAGGACGGAGGGAGAAGTCATCCTCTGGGAACCTCGCTTTCCCTCTAGGTGAACCCTGGAGAGATGGGTAGATAACCCGAGAACCCCGAGAAAAAACTGTAAGGTCTGAAGCCCACACCATTTGTCTAGTGGAATCGATTTCATACCAATTTTCTCTAAAACCTCCATCTTAAACACTTAGCATCAGCGCGCACCGAACGATCAACACGGACCCTAAGACGCCGGCTTGGGCCCGAGCCCGGCTTTCCGCGGAGACCCCGTTCCCACCCTCGGCTCTCGGGGTCCCTGGTGGCCCCAGCGGGCTCCTGCCTCGGGTAACTTTTTCCTTCAGTTGGTGGAAGGTTACATTAGAAGAAAATAGTCCCTCCCGTCTAGAAAGTTTTCAGGGGAAAACGGAGCGGTGGAAGTGCGGGAGGGACGGTGGCCGGGTGGCCGGGCTGGTGCGGGGCGGCCGCCCAGTCCAGGGAGGCCGGGGAGCCCTGCGCTCCTGCCCGCCCCACCCCGAGGCAGCGCGGCTGCGGGGGCCCTAGAGGGCGGGATCCCAGTGCCCCAGCGTGGGGTCTGCCAGAGTATCTCCCCACCCCCATCTCGGTTAGGGGATTGAACCCAGGGCGTTCACACTGAGCTACATCCTCAACCCTCTTATTGTTGTTATTATTGTTACTGTTATTACTATTACTATTTTAATCCTGTTTTTGAGACAGTGTCTTGCTAAATCGCTAAGTTAGCCAGGCTGGACTCAAATTTGAGAATCTCCTACCTCAGCCTCCCACAATGCTGGTCTTGCAAGGCATGCAGCACCACGTTCAGCTGAGTCTTGTTTTTATACTGATAAATTTCCTTTTGTCGTCCTGATCTCTTCGCCTCAAAATTGCCTCGAGGAGCCGTAGTAGGAGTGCACAAAATGAGAAGATCTGCAGAAAAAATTAAAATGCGATCTTTAAAATAGAAATGTTCCTACTTCCTTTTTCTCTGTTAACTTAATATAGGTATAAATTACATTTTGATAGGTGTTCAGGTCAGGTTCAGAAGCTCTATCTTCTACCCTCACCTAGCACCAGAAAAAGGTTTTAATGTGGTAATAATTTTGCAAATCGAGGCCTGCACCTCAAAACCTCCTCCTGGTAAGTGATGAACGTTTCCATGGGTGATGACTTCGAGTTTTTGTTTTGCTTCATTCTCATGTATGTCCCTGCTTCGAGTGGGTAAGATTCTACCTAGTTTAGCCCAGGTTTAATTCAGACCTTTTTTTTTTTTTTTTTCAGACCATTTTTTAAAAGTTTAGTGATAAATCATTTATTTAGTTTCTCATTTGTATTAGGGAAATTTTGTTTTCTTGGTACATGCCTTTCAGGTATTTTTTTGTTCTGTTGTTTTTAGTGCACATAGAAATCAGTCTCTCTCTCTCTCTCCATCTCTCTCTCTCCCTGTCTCTCTCTCTCTCCTGGCTGGCACTGCCAGTAAACATTTGGGTAGTTCAGGATGCTGTTGGAAACTACAGATGAAACAATCTAATATACTTGTTAACTTCATTAGAAATAGTGCTTTGCCAGGCCTAGTGATGCTCGCCTATAATCCCAGCACTCAGAAAGCTGAGGTAAGAGGATCACTACAAGTTTGAAGCAGCCTGTGCTACATAGTGAGTTCAAGACCAGCCTGAACTTCATAGTGAGAGTCTGTCTCAAAAAATAAAAGAAAACCAAAAAGGAAAGAAAGAAATAGCACTTAGGGTTTCATATATATACAGTTTGTACTATGCTATGTATCAGAAATCTTTGTAAAATATAACGTGAGAACCTCGTTTTATTTTTCAAGAAAATGGAGTTCATCTCCTACAGTGCTGTACATCTGAAAAGGCCTAGGAGCCGGATGTGGTGGTGCACATCTGTAATCGCAGCACTTGGGAGGCTGAGGTAAGAGGATTGCTGGGAGTCGGAGGCCAACCTGGGCTACATAGCAAGCCCCTGTCTCAAAAAAAAGAGAAAAAAAGAAAAGAAAAAGTCTAGGATGTGAGAGAGACTCATTTAAATGATAACTCTTAGTATTATTTACCTTGATAGATTCCAAAGTGATTTGCACACCAGGAACATTCCAAAAGCACCAACTGAATGAAGGTGCTGTGATCTGTCCTTTACACAGTAGCAGCACAGGACCCTCTAGCAAATGACTGTTTCCTCCGTGAGGCTTCTCCAGATGTGGGACCTTTTGCCCTTGAGATGTGGATCACTTACATTTTCCCTGGAAAAAGTGCACCTAGTTAGCTAGGAGGACCTAACCTCTCATCGCCATGAAACTGGAGAAGTTTAAATATGGAAAATCTAAGCTCACTTGACACAGATGGGGGATTCTACCACTTATTCAAGTTGTTCTTGTAAAGAGTGATCAGGGGCCTCAGCTTCCATTACCTCACTCCTTAGGGAAGTGTGTGCTGGGAGCCCAGCAAGTCACATGATTCAGTGGAAGAATTAAGTCTGGGTTTGCTCTGTGTCTGCCCTTAGCCAAATTAGTTTTTAGTATGTTTGAAAGAGACTGAAGCTCAATGTGGAAATCTAGTTTATTTTAATGCCATCAGGCAACTAAACAGTGGAAACTTGTTGCGATTTCCTGAGCTGTTTCCTTAGATTAAAGACTTCAGTGAATTAATTTAAAAGGTTCTGAGAGATGGAACATGCCAGACCCCTACTTGCTCATAAGATTGTACTTTCTTCCTGATCTGCTGGGGCAGCAGAGCTCAGCCCCAGGGGAGCTGCGGTGAGGTAACGCGAGAGCTTCTGATGGCTTCAAACACGTGCAGGTGTTCGGCCTCAAACCAGCCCTGACCAGGGGGTCCATAGCCACTGGACTCTTTTCCTTTGGCTCAAGTACCCTAAGCTTAGTAGAAGCTCAGACTTTGACAAGGTGCTGAGATATTTGGTGAAAGTTAAGTCACAACTTCGGAAGACCTTCACAGATTTCCATGCATTTCATGTGTTGTGAATGTTCTTTTAGAGTATACACCTTAAATCAGTCCTCAATTATTAAGTTACACCCGTGCCAGTTGGTTCCTATAGCAAATAACTGACCCCAAAGTGAATTATACCATAAAGAGACAAATGTCCCTGTCATTCTGGAGACAAGCAGAAGTTGCAGAAGTATTCAGTTTAAGGGCTGGGCATGGTGGCACACACCTGTAATCCCAGCATTTGGGAGGCGGAGGCAGGAGGGTTACTGTGAGTTCAAGGCCATCTGGGCTACATAGTGAGTCCAGGCCAGCCTGAGTTACATAGGGAGACCCTGTCTCTGAAAAGGGGGGACTGCGAATGTTGTTCAGATGTAAAGGCCCTGGGTTCAATCCCTAGTATCATTGAAAATTAATTAATTAATTAATTAAAATAAAATTATTGGCCAAATTCTGGGCAGTGTTTGGGTCTATCTTGTTCAGAAAGCACATTGTTTTTCATCAAAATGCCAACATTGAAGCTGAAAGCCATCCTCAATATATACCTATATGCAGAAATTGAACGTGCCCTGACTGTTTATAATTCATTTATTCAGCACATGTTTATTCAGCAGGAGGCCTTGGAGATACTGCAGTTCTTACAGTGTATAAGTCATTCAATACGAAAGTAACCAGGCCCACATATGTACTTTAAAATTTTCTAGTAGTTACATTAAAAGGTTAAAAGAAAACTGATAAAACTCATTTAGTGATATCTTGTATTTTATCAAATATATCTAAAATATAATTTTCATATATAATTAAATTATAAATTATTTTTTAAATGTTTTACATTTTTAAAAAATTTCCTCTGGGTTCTAGGGATTGAACAGAAGGCTGCACCAGGCAAGTGCTCTACCAAGGAGCTACATCCCAGCCTTTCTTGCTGTTAATTATGAGGTGGGTTATGGTTAAGTTGCCCAGGTTGGGCTCAGACTTTCGATCCTCCTGCCTCATCCTCCTACATAGCTGGGACTACAGGGACGTGCCACCATGCCAGGCTTCCATTGTTTTGAGTTAAGTTTTTCTAATTCTTCTACAGCCCATCTCACCTTGCAATGGCCACAACTCAGGTGCCCGAAGGGCACATGTGACTGGAGGATACCGTTCTGGCTCGTCCACACTGGAGGGAAATACAGATGGGTGGACCTGTTGTTTCAGTTCAGTGCAATAAAGACTTCGATGAGAAGGATTTGAGGTACAGGGAGAGCACAGAGAGGTCCTAATTCCTTCAGTTCTTCCTCCTAAAGATCCCATCATTCTCTCTGCTGCCCCAGGTCCTTCCTGCCACTGTTGTCCTCCGTATGGTCTCTCTCTTGACTTCCACAGCAGCTTTGAAGTGGTCCACCTGCATCTCTCCTCTTCTCCTTATCTGTAGCTGTCCTGACCTTCAGTCGTACGCACCGGGTCTTGTCGCTCCCCGCATTCATACAAAACGAATGTGCATTGAACAAAAGGGAAGTGATGCAAATCTTCTAGCCCAAAGTTGCCCACCACATTCAGCTGTGCTTTCCACTCCTTTCTTTCTGCTTCTTGTTTTCTTT